GTTTTAATCATATCATTATCATTTTGTCACAAATTGATCAAAAATGTAAATTATTATTATTATTATTATTATTATTATTATTATTATTATAAGATTTTATTTTTAGGACATACCTTGATGAATTGCTTTAAATTTTTGACTTGACACATTTTACAGATGGGAGTTCATTCGGTGTTGAAGTCTCACGAGATTTGCAGTTGTGTCGGCTGACGTCATGCATGACGGCGGTTCGAATTCGAAAGGTTTGTGCAATAGATCACTGTGTTTCTTTCTTCTTTCATCCATTGTACATCCCCCACGGCAAAACAACTTTCTACTCTTTTTTTTTCTTTTCTTTCCCACTTCACTCAAAGCTCATCAATTTTTTTTCTGGCCGTCTCACACCCTTCACTCCCTCCTATCCTTTGCCCTATCCGTCGCAATTCCGCCCCCGTCGCCACTCATCTTTCTCGTGGCGTCCTTTTTTTTTCTTTGTCCACTCGTCCTTCGCGCCTCTCCTCCATTCAAGCCGTCCCCGGAAGCTCTGGGGGCCCAGTGGCGCTGATAATGAGACGCGTAGTGAACAGATACTACTCACACACTGGCGGTGGATTTATGAAAGTGAGTCTTATGGCGATTATTTACCCACAAACGAGGGGGGACGCACGTCCTCTGCTCACACTTCTCTCGTCATTACACGAGAGCGCTTTCGCCTTTCGCTTTCCCTGTCATTACACTCACACGATAAGATTCTCTCTCTTTCCTTCCATCTCGCCAACTCGCTCCCCCTCACCCCCTTACGCCCGACGGTAATTATGAAAAAATAGTGCTCAGGGGAGCTGATAATACCTTTAACTTAATTAAAGACATTTATAGGATGTAAAAGACATGTCGCCCGAGGGGGGTTGGTGTGCACCCACACTCACCCAAAACTCTTTCATTTCATCTCTCTCATTCTCTGCCTTTCATGTTCCAAGTTTCACGCAGATTCCCTTTCTTGAGGTCAGGAGTTTTTGCAATCATTTCCCAAACACAAGTGAAAAAGGATGTCAACCCCACTGTTAAAACTTTGGGCGTATCGAAGCACTGCTTGGCAACTTGTGCATCGCAGCACACTATTTTCCTCTGACTTACCGGTACTCATGGACACATTTCAGCCCTACAGTAATATGTTCTACGCAGCTCCACTAGTCTAAACCCACTATTCTGATTCATATTGCATTTGTGGAATATGAATAACAGCTCAGGTTCAGAAAACAGGTTAGTCGTGATCGGTCGTTCCCTGAGCCCTGGGCAACTGTGATGTTGTGATGTCATTTTCAGTCGACAGCAAGTGGTAAAATGGCCGACCCGTGAAATAGATAAATACGGCATGATTAACACAATCATTTGCTGCTTGTTTGCCAATTAGTCATGGTAACTGTCACCTTGCGCAATAGAAATAAAGAGTGACTTGAAATAATCCACAGTGTCCAAAATAGTTCACGGCGAGGTCTGCCTGCGCAACGTATGTGTCATGATTAACAAGCGTGCCAAGCTCACATAAGTGATATCCTCTTAATTTGGATAGTAATATCTTGTATCTTCATACGGTCATTATCAATGAGAAACTAATGTGTGTTGTCGTTTTAAGACAATTGCACTGAGTAGCCACGACAGAGACGTGTACCACTTTCCTCCAAGCCCAAAAGTTGAATGGTTCCTTAAAACCAGTATGCTGTGTGGATAGTTGAGACTATCAGGCTTTCACACACTCTGTTTCCTGTGCTGCCTGTATCCTGTTTGGTGGGAAGACCAAATGAAAAAAAAAGCTAATTTGGTGCACTGATGGTTTTCTTTGCTTCAAACGTGCGATGGCGTTTGTTTTCATCACCGTTCTTCTCCTTCTGTCAGTGTTGGAGCATCCCTACCTTGTCAACGCCACAGGTAGGCAAGCTTTTCCAAGAAATTCCCCCAAATGTTGTGACGTTAACTGTCGGCTGGCGGCTCCCGTTCTGAGAAATTGTGTGCTGGACCTGACGCTGGCTATTTGCAGGCACTTTCGGCAACTGGGATGAAATTGTGGTGGGAAGAGAGCAGCAAGTCACCACGTTGGAGTGCATCCTTACGGAAGCGAGGGCCGACGTGAACATCAACTGGATGGTCAAGTACCTCAACCTCAATGGGGGGGTCGGCTGGCAACTGGTGCTCTCGGCCAGTGAGCGCGACGGATTCTTTGGCGGCGCTTCGAAGCCTTCCACGCGGCTGGCCGACCCCAACTTTCTGCTCACGGGCAATTTCTCGCTGCTCCTTCAAGCTACCGAGCAGGATGCTGGCATCTACAAGTGCTTGATAGAGCAGGAAAGGAAGACGATCAAGGAGACGGTCATCCTATTAGCCATCCTCACTGGTAGGACAACAAAATGCAATCTTCACTCAGCCTGAACTTCATGCCTGAACTTCTTACACAAAGTAACGTACTCAATGAGGGCCAAATAGGGGCAAGGAATTGTAATCTCTTGCCTATCCTCGATATCGACGATATGGCCTTCTGTCACTGCTTTGCAATTATTTTCTGCGACACCCCCCTTCAGAAGAAGAAAACATTTCACGCCCTTTCCCCCAACTCCCTGCTGCAACTATAAATACTGTTAGGATATTGGATGGATGGATGATTTGATCAACTTCAATTAGAAAAAAAAAGTTAATTAACAGTTATAAATAGATCTTAAAAATACTAGTATTTATCTAAAATTGTGACAAGAACATTGCGTCCCTATTAACGTAAAAGAAAACAAAAAAAAGAAAGAGCAATCTGCTGAATAATTTTATTTTGTTCATACTCCCCACGCACACTCTGACAATGAGAGCTCCGCTGCCACCTACTGTAGTGGATGTGCAAGGATAATTAATTGTAGTCAGGGGGGAAAAAAAAGTATTTTTGCTGGGGTCGCTCGCGCCAGCAAACCCCTGATATTGGACCGCAGCCCCCCTATATGAGAAGGGCTGTCCTATCATATAATCTCAGACTTTTTTTTTTTTTGGGGGGGGGGCAAAACTTAGCTTTCCAATTGTATTACTGTATATATTATTTTCCCATAAGCTAAGTAGACCGCCATGCCGCCTATTGATTTACCAATGAAAGAAATTTTGATGGATGGTAAATAATAACTGATATATTTTTCATGATAAGGTCATAAAGGCACTTTTCAATTGGAACAACTCCAATAGCGATCTTGCTTCGCGCCACTTCTAGCGCCACGGTTTCTCCCTTTGTCCCTGGATAGTGCCTTCCCATCTGCGACTCTGCCTCACCATAGACACGTTGCGTTTTGTGCTGTGGTTTAACTTGAGGTGTTTCACAAGTCCTCTTGGGTTGCCACAACTCGGTACTGTTTTTCCACAAACTGCATCGTGGCTGTTTGGGATGCAAATCACTCCACATTGATGACTCTTCCTGCCTTAACATGCACATCACGCACCCAAGCGGAATAAAGAGCATTTGCCACCAACCGCGTATCACTTAGACAAGATTGCCGTCATTTAGTGAGCTTTCACTGTGTTCCTGTTAAACTGTACGTTACCACTCAAGTGACCGCTGTATCTATCGGTGTTTTGATTTGGGAATCAGTTTCGCAGATCAGCGGTATCGATCTTTCAACCCACACATTACTTTCCAGAGTCTATTGCTCAATTTGCTACGACGTGAGAAAGTTGCAACTCAAGTCTTAAGCAACTCAGAAAAAGAACCTTTCTGATTTCTTCTGTCCAGTCTTCCAAATACCCCCATCGCCTGTCCCTCAGACCAGCACCTTACGTCTGATAGCCAAGGTCACTCCGGAGACTTCTTGTGAATTCATCTCCTGGGAATCACCGGATGGCACCTCCTTAAAGACCGTGCTGAAGCCCAGGGCCGGATTCGTGGCCAAAGTTCCCCAGCTTACATACGACGACGCCGGCTCCTACAAGTGTGCGGTTCACACCTATGGGAGCGACACCGTGTTCACGTTTGCCGTGAACATCATTGTTGACGGTGAGGAAAGAAGCCAAACATGACGGCGGTGATGATGAGCGAGCCCGAAAGCCCATCAACGGCATTATTTATTAAAGCCTGCTCTGACTATACTGCTCTTCGGTGTATTTATTTTATGGAGCAATTTCACAATTCCAAACACCGCTGTAGATCTACGCACAAAAGTCTACCACGCCAGTGGGTATAACACTCACTTTTGTATGTATTATTTATTATTTGGTTAACACCCTGCCGCTTTTTTTCCTCGGCAGCTGTCAGCATGGCCTCCTTCACCAGGGTGCAGCATGGTGAGTGACGCCCGCAGGAAGTCTTGAGTCAGCATTTGTCTAATCAGACAGAGCAGAACGCAACTAGACATAATCCCTATTGTTGCGGCGATGTTTTGCCCCATCTGCACTCCCATCTGTGCTTCATCTTCCACCGTGAAACAGTGAAACCTCGAAGGCTGAACACAGTCTGGTGCAGAACCTTGCCCCACTGCTGATTGTTTGGATTTTGAATACAGTGGAATCTCGATTTAATGGCCGACCGGAAATTGCCGGGAGGGGCTCATCCGTTACACCCGAATGTCCGTTAAATTGAAGTACACCGTATTTTCCGCACTAAAAGGCGCACTGGATTATTAGGCGCACGTTCAATGAATGGGCTATTTTGAAATTTTTTTCATATTATTGCACGTACTGGACTATCAGGCGCAATCTACAATGCATCCACTAGATGGAGCTACAGCCGTTCGTTTGACTCGAGAGGCGTTCATGACCGCCTCCAAAAAACGTAAATTAACGATTACTTTAATGAAACTACAAAAATTGAAAATAGAGTAATGCATCAAAACAGAAAATCATAAAATAAATTCTGTAGGGGGGGCTATAGAATTTATTTTGTGATTTCCTCGCTTGATTTTCTGATTTGATGCATTATTTTCCATTTTCGTAGTTTCAATGAAGGAATCGTTTTTCGAGGCGGTCATTAACGTCTCGGGTTGAAGGAAGAAGAGAACACGCAGAGACGTACACACGTAACTATTTGTTGAGACTGAAAAACATTAACGTTAGTTTTTTTTTTTTTTTTTTTTAAGCCGTTATCCTGTTTAGACGTTCTTTGACGGTTCTCTTTGCTTGTCAACCTCCTAAGTTTCAGACTTCTTGGGGTTCAACTTGGGTCCACGTGATTAGAATGGAAGCCAGCATTTTTATCACCTGTCTTTTAAAGCTTTTAACTCCTGCCAGTTATATTTAAAAAAAAAAAAGCCAAAAGATTCATAAAAGGACAATGCAAAAACATTCTTATCTCATCACATGTATCAACAATGCTATTCTAACCCCTGCAGGCCCAACTATCTTCACCGCCACTCAAGCGAGGACATCCGTCCCCTTAACCTGTCCCACTGTGCTAGGGGACTGCGTCTTCCTCTACTGGCAATCCTCCAGTTCGAGCATAAACAAGCTGGTGTACCACTACGATCACTGGAGGGGCAACACGCCCAGCATGGAAAGCGCCAAGCTCCAACTGGCCGGCTCACCCTACAACGCAGATGCCGGAAGCTTCTCCTTCTTGTACACGCCGGGCCTCAAAGACGGCGGCCTTTACGTCTGCGACGTGCTCGTCAACGACCATATCTTCAGCCAGAGGACGCTGCTGAGCGTGTTAAAAGGTCAGTGTCAAGAGTCAGGTTGGGAGCGAAAAAAAATTAAACCCCAACAATTTCACATCTTGAGGGCATGTCGATCATGAGTCAAGCCACAAAAAGTTGCCATGCCCGACATTGTACAGCAGATCTGCAATTTTGGTTTCGACTGTTTATGTTTGGGTCCTTTTTGTCCAATTCCTCCCAAATTTAAACACCACGTCAGTCTTGATGTCTTATGAGTGAGCCCACAAAAAAGGTCTCAAGAGCCCGTGCCTGAAAATACACAGCAAATCTGCCATTTTGGTTGAAACCATCCACAGTGGGGTCATTTTCAGGGCGTGTCCTTGAGGTTTTGTACGATTGCTACCAAATCGGACCCACGCCAACATTGAATTTGGTATTTATGGCCGTCATCAGTTAACCCACAAAACGTCTCAAAAACACGTCAATTGCAACTCCCCAAAAGGCCCGATTTCCTCTGCAATTTTGTGTGGGTCCCTCAGACTTTTTTGGTGCGCGTCTACCCAATTTCATGTCGAATGGTGAAACTGGTCTCAGCGGCTGGTTTTTCACAATTTCCCGAGTGCTGCTGACTGACTTTCCAGAGATCCACATCAGAGGATGAAACCAAAAAAACATTTAGTATTGAGCGATTTAACATTGCCTGTAGCTCACTGACGAGCACATCTACCTCACAGTTCTGAGGCCACGGATTTAAATCCAAGCTCCTGCCTTGCTATGTCGACGATGTTCTCCTTGTCTCCCTGGAGGTGTACATTTTACCCACCAAACCGATATAAATCAGCTCCACTACCCTTCATAAATGAACTTTATTGAACCCAAGTTAATCACATTTGACCCGATCCTCGTCATTTAGTTCAATCAAACATCATAAATTATGTTGACCGAACCCAAGTACGTTAAGATCTCCCAATCCCATTGCTTAATGCTTAACGCAAATCATTTAATGATATGGAATTTTTTTTCCATCCATTTTTTTTGGGGGGTTTTTTGCGAGTTCGTTAAAATACTTTCAAATTATACAATATATGTTTGTTCAACACATTTTAATGCTTTCATGCACCCTGCAACCTGATAACATGATAAGGTGTCCACTGCACTACCCGCTGTCCCTGAAAGGTTTAACCATGCATGACCAATACACACAAATCCAAAGAAAGCAAAAATAATACCGATGGTATTATTTTGGCGTGATCGGGGTGCCGTGAATTTCACCAGGCTACCACAGTCAGCTCCACTGGTCTGATCGGCATCATTCAATCAAAGGCTAAGATGATTTATGGATGCAGTGATGGGGCGAAGGTCTTTTTTCCTCTGTTGTTTGCTACTTGTCTCAGTCTTGTTCAGTGGAATTGTCTGACATTTTGGAAGAAAAAGCGCCTCATTACATCTCCGCTGAGAGCTAGATGAGAGGATTTAGTCAGCTTTAGAGGCGGTCATCTAACTTCATATGCGATATGTCAAGTACTTGTTATCCTCCCAAAACTTTGATACCCCCCCCCCCCGCAAAAAAAAAAAAACCCAAAAACAACATGTCAAGATTCAGCAAAGCGTCCATTTTGTATTGCGCTTGTCCACATTGAAGTCACGGGTGAATTGAAGCCTGTCCAAGCTGACCAAAAAGTAGGCTAACTAGCAACATCCAGAGCTGATAAAAATACTCACACTGTGCACTTAAGTACAAGTCCAGAGACTTGGGTTGGAAAAATAAAAAAGACTTGATTGTACTCTAAAGTATTGATCTTTTATGAACATTTTCTGACATTCTTAGTGTTTTTTCAGTCCGTTTTTCGATGTGGCTAACGCTATATGACTGTCAGGTCATAGCTCTGCGTTATCAACGGTAACAGCTGGAATTTCTTGACCTCTCCTTTTGAGTCGGAAGGTGTTTCCAAACATCAATAGCATTTCCTGTTACATGTTAGCATTAAGCTAGCAGACTTGAAGGGAAACATGTTTGTTTTAGACACACAATGTGAAGTTCCCTTTGTCTCGTAAGTCGGCTCCGTCGTATCTCAAGGCACCACTGTATCTGCGGCCCAACGCAGCGAGCAAAAGTAAAAAGTCAGAGGACAGATCTCGGCGAAATCTGTCTCAGTGGACGAACAAAATATTTGTACTTGGTTCCATCCCATCGTCGACAACAATACATTTCAACAGCTCAGGCAAGAGCAGCGCACTGCGTGGTATCAAAATGAGTTTGAAGCCTTTTGTATTTTTTTTCAGGCCGAATTATTATTGCCGCTTGAAGCAACCGCACTCCTCTGCTGGGCTGCAGTTGAGAAACGGTTGCCCGGCAACATCATTGTCATTCTGGCACAGCTGCTGCGCCTGCTCAGAGTGAGTGAGTACTCGGAATAAAATTGAATAAAAAGCAGAAGTTGTGCTTTCTCATTTGATCGGAACACTCTCTTGTGAAAAGTACAAGTGCTACATGATAAGCTTGTTTTTGGCAGAGACCCCAAATGAGCTGTTTTCCCCTTGCTCCAATTTGGGAGTTTTCGCTAGGCCAGACACAAGCCGCTTGCTAATTATCACACAGAAATAAAATTGAACCCCCCAAAAATCCCAGCGCTCATACTCTCCTTTGAAAGGAAATTGAACATGAATATAATGGTAAGTGTTGAATTCTTCTGTAAAGGGGACACGCGTCAAAAAAATAAGCACTGCAGGAGGTGTTTGTAAAGGCGACTGAAGTGTGTTGCAGCGAGATTTGGTCGACAGGATTTGCACAGCCGGTCAGTAGCATGAACTGAAAGGAGTGAGGAAAAAAAAGTGATGGTTCAACACGAGGCACACAAGAGTTGCGATGCATCACTCCAGAGGTTGCGATGATTGCTCAAGCGAGCCAAGGTACAGCTGAGTCCATTGCCATAATTTTTCAGTGTGAGTTTCCCGCACTTGGCTATACAATGGCAAGCACCACCGGTGAATTTTACCAATTGTAAATAGCGACTTTTCTTTCCCCCTGAAAAATACAATATTAATTTCATGAAATTGTTATATATTTTTTTTTCCATTTAAAAAAATCTTGGAAAACTCTTACTTTTTCCTGAAAAAATACAACTTGTAAAAATGACTATGTAAACTGGACTTACTTGTTAGATGACTACTTTTTAGTTATGTGACCTGAAAGCACAATTAAATTTCTACCATTTGCCCGCTTTGTTTAATTTATCTTCGTAACATGACCACCTTTTTGTTGAAAACAATGTGCTTCTTTTTTTTCTGGAAAAAAACATACCTAGTTTGTGATGAAAATGGCAACTTTTAGTCCTTTTTTTTTCATCATGAAATTTAGTGCATTCTTGCAAGGTCACGACTTTTTGTCAACCGGATAGGACTTTGTCGTTAATTTATGACTCTTTACAGAGAGACAGAGAGAGGGCAGCGGGGCGAGAGACGTTTTTTTTTTTTAACTTAATCTGTGCTCCCTGCCCTGAAAAGAAAATGTGTGTGTGTGTGTGTGTGTGTGTACACGTATTTTTTTCCATGAAAAAAATACTACTCTTTTTCTTTAAAAAAAAAAAAAAAAAAAACCAGTAATAATTCTCGCTGTAGAATTTTTGTTGTTGTGGCCCCAATCTGTTGATTTTCCATGAATGGGCCTTATTTCACGCTTTACAACACCCACACAGACACAATAGCATCCCTTCACAGGCGTAAACAGAAAAAGCCAAGATATGCGTCCCTGTGATGGTGGCCTTGGAAGAGTTTACTAATCACACTCCCCGGCGACATCCATCACAGCTGCCCAGACATGACGAGCCGATCAGTCATAGTCACACATGTGCAGCCCCTACACATACACATACACACACACACACACACACACACACACTTACGAGCGCCCACACGGCAATCATGTGACGCATATATTTTTACCCCACCTCATTATGAGTATCATTATGTGTGATTATACCTGCCGGCCTCCCACGGAGGCTGTAGGTGGCCCACGCTGATCACACTAATCAACGCTGAAATGTGTGTGTTTTTATGTGACACAATGGGGAGGAGGGGGGGGGGGGTCGGCGGAGCCTGATTACACCCAGATGGATTCTCATTTCACTTTGATGAGACACTAAGCATCAGTCACCGTCAAGTGGGGCATTAGCAGCAAATCACTTTAATGAATATATATTATTGTGACCTCTCCGTAGATGGTACTCTGTGGTGTTCTTTTTTTTTGTTCTTCTCTCACGTGGCCGTCCACTTTAGCCCATCACTCCTGATCCGTCCTTGGCCTTTTCTGCAATCAGGCCAGCCATTAAGTCACCTTCTCATCCCGCCTGGCTCCTTTGTCTTCCCTCCTCTTCTGACATTTTCGCCGACTCATCTCGTCTTCTGATTTCGATCTGTCCATTCGGTCACCGTTTTTGCGCTGCCATGTAAAACAAATAACGGTGGAGCCTTGAGATACGAGTGACCCGACTCACAAGGTTTAACTTGCGAGCGCTTTGTGGTAGCAGGTGACCTTACTCACTTCACAGCAAGCAGCAGTTTGGAAGATCATTGCTAAATGTGCTTCCCAAAAAGGCTTCAAGCTATTTAATTCGACTCCCTGTTGAACAGTCAATGTCTAGTCAAAATAGTCAAACTAAACATGAATAAAAAAAGAATGACATATTGTGTATTTAAAAACAACAACATAGCCACAGCAAACTTAGTGCTAACATACTGGCACGCAAGCTAACAATTAGCATCTATGTGGCAGTGTGGCTACCCTTTAAGCAATGAATATCGAACACAAATATTGGCGTCACACACGAAGACAGACAAAATAATGGTCACAGGTATCTATTCTTTATCCTCTGTAAAGAAGAATTTATCTTCCTGTTGTGCCGAAAGCACCATGCTGCCCTCTCTTTAATTCCTCATCGTCTTTTTGCCTTCGCTTTTTCCGCCTCTCCTGGTTCCGCAGTGATGGCCCGGCGTTTGGGATCCAAGCTGATGCTGGAGTGCTTGTACAGCGAAATTTCCCAAGTCCGAGATGCATGGTGGGAATATCAAAACGAGCGTTGTCCGACGAAAAGTTCTCCCGGCAGTGTCGTCGTCGCTCTGCCGTTACCCGTCACCTTGGACACGGCCGGCAACTACACGTGCACCTTACGGCTCAAAAATGGCCAAACCATCAGCGCCGTCCACACCGTCAAGCAGCAAGGTAATACAAACATTGTTTTTTCATTTGGTTTCATTTTGTCTAAAAGGTTAGCCTTCAAGTTAACCCTTTAGCTACCCGCTTAATCGATCCAGAGAGCACATTCACAAAGCAAATCAGCAGGTTTAAGTTCCACGGAAGCCAGATCAACAAGGAATCGCGAAACATTGAACACTTTTTTGTGATTTGTAAACGTCTATTGAGTTGGACTGTTCCACCCTATATCGATAAGACTAATCAATAGAAATAACCACCATGGGAATAATTCGGACTCGATTTTGAGGGCGATTCCGATATTCAGTAGAATAACTTTCCAATTCCAAAATCACAATTAATCGGCTCATACTTTTTTAAAACCTATATAATGGATGAAATAACTTCTTTTTTTGGTCCGTTAACGCTCACAACATTAACGATATGAATCACCGGCAGAACATTTGACTGTTTAACAATACTTTGTCCGTTAGTACTTGTTGAACTTTACATCAGAGAGAAAGGAAAATGCAAAAATTGCCCAATCGTACTGTGTTCGTGTTTTCTAAAAAATGGCGCAAAAAAATGACCCATTTGAATTTTTCCGATTTTAAAAGAGCTAAAAGCCAATTAATCAGCCAGACACATGTTGACAGCATGCTTCACCCAAAAAGGGTTTTGCTTGAAATTCCTTCCAAAAAAAAAAATAATAAAGTCCATTCTTCCTCAGCCAATGTGCCACTCCTTTACAAAGTTTGAAGGAAATCTCTCGCACGCCAATCAAAGCAGAGCCTCTCGCCTCTCTGCTAATGTGACCCATTTTTCGTGTGAAAAGCTTCAATATTCCCAAGGCTTCACGTCCGTTTTTATGAGACATAAAGGTCAACGTTTTCCCCCATCGCACTGACCGAGCTGATATACCGATATAAGGAGACAGAACCCCGGGACATATCCTCCAACAATAACTAAATAATTCAGGCTTATTGTGTCGGTGGTTGAGAACAGGAGGATGTGACAGCGAAATGGATCACCCTCCCCGCTCCCCCCCCCACCCCCCACCGCGGTTGAGATAAGTCCAATGCATCACTTGCACCGCTGCACCCAGGGCTCATCATCATGCATCCCGCCACCACAGCAGCTATGGGAGGAATGGACACTCGCAGGGTGGGGATGAAGACCAGGGAGCCATTCTTATCGGAGGGGAGGCATCCAGAGATGGCAGGCGGGATAATGGTCAGATTTTTATGGCCTTTATGGAAAGGCAACAAGTATTTTTTTTTTTTTATTACACCCACCAAGGAGGTTTTTGTTTGTTTCTTTGTTGGCAGAGTGAAACCAAAGCTGCTAATTCCACACGCCTGTGTTCATTGCGCTCAACATTTCAAAACTTTTCCCACCATAAACATCACTTATAACTTGCTCAACTCAAGTGAAACACATTTTGTGCATATTTTCAAGAAAAGAAGTCGAGGTAAAGAGTTCAAATACGCAACCTTCCTCTTATAAATGGCAAAATAACACATTTTTTGTTCACCTGTTCATAATTTGCTCCACCCTGACTAAGGTCACAGTTTCCACTGCAGAAAAACAGCCCAGATTCATGTTGCAACACTGTGGAGTTGAGTTTTGGAAAGTTGGCCAGTCTGTTCAACCTTGGTTTCATGGGACCCTCCATTATCCTCACAAAAGGTCGCAGGGGGTGCTGTAGCCTATTCCAGCTGTCTTCGGGCAGTAGGCGGGGGACACCCTGAACTGGTCGCCAGACAATCGCAGGGCACGCTTAGACAATGTAGTACCCGGCGAAAACCCACGCAGGCACGGCGGAGAAAGTGCAAACTCCACATGGGAAAACTGGAGCCGGAATCAAACCCTGCACCTCTGCCCTGTGAGGCTGACGTGCTAACCGGTCGCCCACCGTGCCACCCTTCATGGGACCATTTAGGGAAAGTAAATCAATCAAATACATCACACCCACCAGAGATGCTGAATATAAAATGGCTTTAAAAACGGATTGAAGGAGGTTGCTTATAATCTAAACATTACAATGTTTGTATCAAATACCCAATGAGGTTATAAAAATGTGGGATTTTTCATTACGGGTTAGTTTTTATTTTGCTTTTGACTTTTGTTTTTTACGTTCAATTAGATTTAATTAATTTTCATTTTTCATTTGATTTTTTTTTTTTTTTTTTTAAGAAAGATTAATTTTAGTTTAATTTCTATTAGCTGTTACCGTTGATTAACTTCTTTTTTTTACTATTGGGAATATTTGTCAAGTGCAAGGTAAAAAAAAAATGTTTTTAAACGGTCACTAAGTGTCATTCCAAATGACTGCTTGACCTTCCTTCTTCTCTATAGGCATACAGTAATACAAAAATAAAAATAAAAACCTTTGAAATGAACCTTGGAAGCCCTTTAGCGATATTAATTGACAAAGATGAAAACAAAGGATATTTTCACAATAATGATAGTTTTTGGTCATTTATTTTGAAAGCATTTTCATAAAACGGACAAAAAAATATTTTGTCCGTTTCACTTTTTGGGTGACTTTCCTCGAAGGGTGTTGCAGTTTCTGCTCCAAATCAAACAATGCAATACTGCAGAAACAAAAATTTCTCCCCCCGGCTGTTGTTTTTCATCCATGTGCATAAATTTCCCTCAGAAGCCATACGGTATAAGATCGCAGGAAGTAGAACTTCTTTGGTGTGCCACCCACCTCAGCGCCCTCAAGCACCACTCCCCCCCACCCCCATTCCCCCCACCATCCCGCTGCCTCCTCATTTAAGAAGGAAGCAGTGCAATGAAGTGCCAGCGGAGGTAAAGAAAAGGTGAGAAGATGAGGGCGCAAAGCGAAAGAGACAGAAGCCTTGTTACCTGGCTTCACTTTCCGCTCGCTTACCTTAATTTGCGTGTTCAATCTGGTACGGGGGAACAGCGCGGGTCACTGCCGCCTTCCATGAGCTACACATCCTCGCCAATCGATTAAAGTTCATGGGGCACAGGTGGTGATTGATTGTGCTGAGGGGCGGCTAATGGCCACGCTTGTGACAAAATTTGTCACAAGCGCTTGAGTGAACCACACTGACCTGCTGCGTAAATTGTAGCATAATTATGCACAAGTCAGTTTGATTTTTTTTCTTTCCAGAAGTGGAAAGAGTATGACGTAAAAGTCCCTTTTTTTTTTTTTTTTAAGGAAATAGCACTCTAGAATAGTGGATTTCATAAAACAAACACAGAGTAACAATATAAATAGAATGAAAAGTAACTGAAAGTGTTGTTTTTTTTTTGCAGCTACCTATGGTGTCATGCAGTCACAAAACGGAGAAAACTTTCACGACGATTACAAGTGATTCTTTATTTGCACAGGATAAAGAATACATGCCTGGGAGTATAGTTATGCCTCTTGTGTATGTGTTGCTGCACTGTTTGCGTTCAAATATCCGTGGCCTTAAGCATTATAACGTCGCCACATCGACGTTGCTTATTAGCCCATTGATGGCGTTTCCGAGTATTAGCGCTAAGCTTAGGCACTTTAAGGCAAAATCATGTGGTTGTTTTAAACACACAATATGTCATTTATGTGCACAATTTAAAAATCTTCAATGAAGCTATGGTGCATGTTTTTGAAATGGTGGCAATACCCACACGCAAACGCCGCACGGAAGGCCAGAGCCGGGATTCGAACACATGCGAACCTCAGAACTGTGAAGCGGACATGCTAACTTCCCCTATCAAGCCACACACAGCTGTTTTTGTGCAATCCAGGCCTGTGTTCTTCCGAAGCCATATCATGGCCATTATGCAAATGAACTTAATGGGCCACATCTCCCACTGAATGACACTACACTCAGTGCATGTGTGTGCATGTCTGTGCGTGTGTCTGTGTACAGTGCAATACAATGTGTGTGTAAACCTGTGTGAGTGGAAATCTGCCTCACTACAGCGATGGCGAAGGAACTCATACTCTATACTTAGGTAGAAGTAAAGACACATCCGGTACACAGCTGTCTATGCTACTCAGTTTTCACAGAGGATAAAGAATATATGCCTTTGAGTTATTATTGTCTGTCCGCATGTGCTTATGCACCGTTTGTGTGCAGATAGCCGTTACTTGACGAGTAAAAGACTGCTATCACCGATGCTAATCGCTAGCCAGTCGATGGCGTTCCCAATGTTGTCTTAACATTAAGCTAGTGAGTCATTCCCTCGGGCAAAGTTGTTTGGTTGGGTGTCATTCTCTTTGTTTTATGTGAAGTTTGACAGTAATCTTCAAACTGGGCGGCCTGAAGCATCATTTTTGAAGACTTTAGCAGAGAGTAAACTAATACTTATTGTGAAGTGAGTATTTCTATATTTCATGACTTCACACTATTGCTCAACTGTAATTAAAGGCGGCCTTGCTAAAGTTTGCCATGATGCCTACTCTTTAATAGTGTTAATATTTTTTGTGACATCACCAAGAGAGAGAGAGAGAGAATGTGTGTGTGTGTGGGTTTGTGTGTGTGAGTGTGAGACAGATTGATGCCAAACAGCGCCTTCATCCTCCAATGCACCCACTGTACGTGTGAGTGACAGCTGCATGATGAAAATACATGTAACATGCCTGGAAGGCGGGTGGGGACGTGGCGTCTTTTATATCGAGTTCAACTGTGGCCCCGACCCGCCGCCTTTGCGATTCGCAGAGCAACAACTTGTCAACTCCAAGAAATTGAAGTTTTTCTCTCATTTTTCACTCTCTCTGGCAGAGAGCACCGTGGCGCCCTCGTCGCACTCTTCTTCCCCCCACCTCCTCCTCCTGCCTTTATTACTTCTGGTGCCCCTGGTTGCCACCACCACGGCGGTGTTGCTACGGCAACAGAAGCGCATCTCCCGTCGAGGTGAGGCTATGGCTCTGACGGATGCGGCCCAGCGCATCCTCTGGGGTTGCTGTAATGAATCTGACCCTATCTCCTCCTATACGGGTGTGTGCGCCCAGGTATTGAGCAGTCGCTGTCTGTCCACTCGGGCGAGACGGAGAACATCTACGAGAACCCGGAAGATGTCAGACAGGTGATAAAACTTGGCCATTTCCCCTCCTGATGAATCATCCGGGGGATTTTTTTTCAGGGGCCCGTCTCAATTGTTTTTTTTTTTTGTTTTTTTGGTGGGGAGGGGTGGGGACGTTGTTTGTTTCTCCTCTTTTCATACTTCCTACTTCTCAGCCTTCCTCTCTTGTTGCTCATTCAAGCTTGTTTTGCTCCCCTTCCCAACAGGCTCTTCCGCAGGGGTCGGTCTATATGGTGAGTTATGGCGTATATATATATATATATAAAAAACACACATACACATGATGGGCGACTGGTGAGCACGTCTGCATCACAGTGCAGCGGTGCCGGGTTCTCCCCGTGCCTGCGTGGGTTTTCTCCGGGTGCTCCGGTTTCCTCCCACATTCCGAAACCATGCATGGCAGGCTGATTGAACACTCTAAATTGTCCCTAGGTATGAGTGTGAGTGTGGATGGTTCAAGCATCGGATTAAATCCGGATTGGCTGGCAACCGGTTCAGGGTGTCCGCTCGTCCGCAGGGGTCGGTCTATATGGTGAGTTATGGCGCAACACACACAAACACACACACACACACACACACACACACATACACACACAGGGAAAGCTTTTGTGTGTGAGGACTTGTAATAAAGTGAATTCCCGTTGATCCCGGGGGATAAGCGATCGGTGAAAACAACAACAAAAAAAAATCTCAACGTTCACTTTATTTTTGTGTCTGTTTTGACTCTTTTGCTTTCAGACTCTCTATTATACAACATCATGTTGATAGAATCTCTCTCTCGCTCTGATTGTGAGTGTGAATGGTTGTTCGTTTATGTGTGTGCCTTGCGATTGGCTGGCAACCGGTTGAGGGTGTCACCCGACTACTGTCCGACAGCTGGGATAGGCTGCGGCACACCAGCGACCCTGGTGAGGATAAAGCGGATAGGAAAATGGATGGATGGATAAACAACTGTTTTGAGTAGTTAAATTATTCAACACAAACATGAGGCTCATCAAAAGCGTTAGCTTGCCGAGGTAAATTAACCCTTTCAGGGACAGCGGTTGCAGGGTGCATGAAAGGGTTAACTCATAGGTGAATTCTCGAATTGCAAACACTGTAAAAAAATCATTTTTACATGTTGTACTTTTTTTTTTTTTTTTTTTTTTTTTTTTTTAATGTCAGCATCTTTCACCCCTGTATTTTTGCCCTCCAGGATTTAAAACCAAGACAAGCTGATGTCTACAAGGAACTGGAGCGCTAAGCAAAAAGAAGCATCGCATCACCTTTGTGTGTGTGTGTGTGTGTGTGTGTGTGTGTGTGTGTGTGTGTGTGTGTGTGTGTGTGTGTGTGTGTGTGTGTGTGTGTGTGTTTGCTAGCATGTCATACGTGTGTTTGCGGAGTCTCCCTGGCATTCTCCTCACACAGACTGCACATCACGCTGACACTGTGGCACAATATGGCGTCACGCGCTGACAGGCTCCACCGCCTGTGTTGTTGTTTGTGTTTCGTGGGTCGCCTCTACGTGTGTGCGTTTGTGCGTGTCGAAAGGAAAATAACACTTTTTATTTTTTTATTATGATTTTTTTTTTTTCAGTGAGTTGGCCTTTGTGCCCCCTTTTCGGTGCCAGAACTGATCAGATCCATGCATGTGCCACCCTCATGCTGCTGTCCAATCTGCTCGCCTGCGTGCAGCAGCGGGGGGCCTTTTATGAGGAACAGTTACTGGATTTTAAAATAGACTTGAATAGAAATGACATTCAAGTGTGTAACTGTTCTCAACAGCTATGCTGATTTGTTCGTATGCCATTATGGAATTAGCAGTGATGAAAGAGGCTTTTATTTTTGCAAAGAGGTACTCTATGTTAAAGGAGACATCTTGTGCATTTTTCTCCCCATAATGTAAAGCCAATCTTGTCTTTTAACATTTCCATGACATGAAATTATCTTGCCTTGCTAAAACCAGCCATACAACTATAGTGTGAAGGTCGAGAAAGAAACGGGTTGTTACAGATTTTGGAAAGTACTGTACAACCTTTTACTGCGTTTTAAATCAGAGATGCAGGTAAACTTTTGTCAACGATTTTTATTTATTTTTTTTTACATTGATTCAGAATCTGTCCTCAATTTCTCTCTCTATAATAATAATAATATATTTAATCATATATTTAGTGCCGCCGCAATGTATAATAATTTAATTATGATTATTATTATTAATTAATTTATAATTTTATGTTCTGGGCTATAGACGGAAATTAGCTTTCTGATAAATCTGGTGCAAGGCTCTTCTCTGTTTTATCATTTTGATTTACGTATGTACATTTTGTCCATAAAACCTAACAAAACAAATGTGAATGTCACAAATCATCAAAATCCTAAACAGATCGCTGAAACGCATTTTTGCAAATATTTTCTTTTGGGGGGAGGGGGGGGGGTTCAATGAAGCCTCGAAATGGGGGCAATGTATTTGTGTAGTTCAGGGGTGTCAAACTCATTTCACATGGTGGGCCACATACGGCCTCGGTAGATGTCAAGTGGGCCGGACCATTAAAATGATACAATACTTTGCTATAAATAACCAAAACAATATGGCTTTCCTTTGTTTTGGTATAAAGAAGCACAAGAACATTAGGAAAATGTTGAAATTTAATGAACATATCTTTTACAAAACATTTCATGAAGCACCTTACATTTCCTTCGACAAATGTGCAATTTACTTTTATCATTCACATATATGCATTGCAACTGATCCCACTGATTGTACAAACTTTAACAAGTAATTGGTATTGAAAAATATAGGAATGCACTTTAAGATTAAACAAGATTCATAAAGAAAGCAAGTTTTAAAGCATTTACACGTGCATATAAAATCTAATTGTAATCTCTGCCTACACCTTACAAACTAAGGAGAGTGCTATTAAATGTGTAAATGTGAGAGTGCTATTGATAGCGTCTGCTGTCATGGGTCTGTCTCAGTGACAGACTGAGGCTGCTGTTGTCTTCTTCTCTGATCAAAACAGTGTCCCCTTGCGGATACTCAATGAATTGCACCTGATTAAAAATATTAATTCTGTGTCTTTAATGCATTTTTTTCACTTTTACATTATCCTGCGGGCCTGATTGAACCTACTTGCGGGCCGGTTCCGGCCCGCGGGCCGTATGTTTGACACCACTGGTGTAGTTCGATATGTTTCCTTGTTATTTCTCATGATGTGACTTGGCCGTCGAAAGGTGTTTTTGTATGTTATTTACATTGCAGTTTATGATGACCTCCTGTAGGTGATTGCGTAGTGCCGCCGGCTTTCTGTTCGAGCTCACTTTTTCCAACGAAAGTTGTGTTGAAGGACGATTTACCTGCTTTTAAGGCCTCTCGTTTGTGTTTGTTAGTGTCTCTTTCACGCTATAGCTCTTACGGTGTATCCACAATGGAAACAATGCATGTGTAATTAATAAAAACCTTTGTGGAACATTCGTACGCTTTAGCCTTGTCCTGCTGGGTTTGCTACAAACCACTCAAACGGATGAAACGGTCCAACTCATGCCCGTGTTCGCGGTAGGACATGTTTGGCCATCGCGGGCTTCCGTCTTTATCCAGGAAGTATGGCCGCCCGGTTGTGGCTTCGTTGTGTTTTCGGACCTCACCTGAAAAGAATTCATCGCCGCCCGGACCAGATTTGGCCCGATGGACGACTGGTCAGGACGGTAGGAGCATGCACGCCTTTCCTCCTTCGTTTTGACGCGGTTGACTGAGCAATTGGAAGCGTTTAGTGGCTGGTAGCGGAACATGTCGCTCTGGGCCGCTACCTGCGGTAATTGTCAAATGTTTCTCAATGAGCACTACCTGACATTTCAATAAGACGATTACGAGTTCATATAATGAATGAAACGAAGGACATGTTGCATTTTCCTTATTTGCGTGTGACGTTTTACTGCTTTTCACAATTTCATTCAATCTCGATGACATCCGTCTGCTCATGTTAACGTTAGCGGGATGTGCAAAATAGTTCCGGTTCTTCATGACGGGTGGTGAGTAGCTGCACTTTTTAGTTGAGTCGCACTTTTTAGGGAAATGACACACGAAGTGCGACAAATAGTTAAATGCAGTCATAAATGTATAAAATACGCAACATTTTACAATTAAAAAAAAAATCAAATGGGACGGAAATCAACCCAAAAGAGCAACCGGCTCTTCCTGGGCTTCTCGTCTAGGCAAATGTGTTTTTATTCTGCTTTTACTCAAATGTTAATTGAGGAGGCAGCTCTGACGAAAAATTAATTCCACGATTCGGGTGCAAGGCTTTGTCGATTTAGATAAGATGAACAACAATGGTGTTTGTATCGTGATTGTTTAGTTTTTTGGGTTTTTTTTCACTTTGTACAGGGATGGAACTACCAGTCTGGGAGTTTGGAGAAACACACCGACAGCATTCTCGGTTGGGTCGGTATCAACTGTATTGTCAGATTATATTATTTGGTGTGCAATATTTGGGTCTCCCTCAAAACAAAAGTGACACGATGACATTTGAGGGAGGGAAAAAAAATATATTTATTTCTGGGGGGGGGGGTTGTGTTTTCCTGAATAGTTTTTTTTTCCACTTTTCTTTCAATTGAATTTCATCGTGTATATGTTCTTGTTTTTCAATAAAGCCCATGATGATGATGATGATGACGATGATGCTGCATCATGTGTTTTTGTGTCCTTCCACCAGGCTTCAGCTATGTGGTATCTGTCCTACTGCAGCTCTCCCTTACTAGTTTGCTATCTGTATGGAAAAGGTAAGAAAAAGGGACTTGTTTCGAGAAATGACTTTATGTAATTTTTATCTATTTATTTTAAATATGTTTGCATTTCCAATAGTAAATAATGTAAATAGGGGGGGGATCAGTTTCAGGGTCAAACTGTGGCAATCATTCAAAACAGGCTAACATTTTGGAGCAACATTTTGAAATTCTGAACTGTGATACAAGAGATCGCCGATATGCCTGCAATATTGTGACAATAATCTGATTGTGATGTTCATATCGTCTTAATATCATATCGTGACGTTTGGATATCGTTACATCCCTCATCAACACAATTCCTGAAAGGAGTTTAGAATTTTCTATAAATGGCCACAAAATTGCGGCAAAGCACTTAAAAAAAAACACAAGCAACACCTTGATCTAGCATGTGCACGGTCATTTGTAACATGTTACATAGACACATTTTCAGTATTTTAAATAGTCAACACGAACCCCGCTCCCTCCCATGAGGCTCATCGATAAACAATAATATATTTGTGTGCGCGTGTGTTTTAGGCTACATCTGCAGCAGTAAGTTGGCGCCATTGAGTCAGTACGTGGCGACGACGTTGCTGTGTCTCCTCGGCGTGGCGTGTCTCCGAGGTGAGGTCGCACAAATGTACACGGCCTATGCCAACGGATCGTTTCATGGTGTTAGCGAACAGTAGTCGCACGGACGGGTAGGCGTGCCAGATAGACCGAAAAAATACCCTGATACGTCGCCTTGAAAAAGGATGCCATACCACTCTTGGACTCTCAGGAGGTGCAACCGTGTCACGTTCTTGTTTCCCTCCCTCAAGGCTGGGGAAGATGGAAGAACGCTCAGTACCTGGAGTTTGTTTCCGTTTTGGAGGAGGCCAAGAAGAATCACTCGCCGGACAACAAGGTGAGCTCGTGCCGTTTTCGGCCGGGGATTGAGAAGAAAAATGTCTCCATTTCCTGTTTCCCGTTCTTGTAGAAGAAGCTGAGATGCTACAACTTTGACTTCTCTCACTGGCCTGCTGATTTCAGCTGGACCGAAGTCAGCAACCCGTAAGTGTGTGGAGTCGGGATCTTCGATACCACTTCTTTCCCCAGACCCGTAGCGGGACACGTCTCACTCTCTTTTGATTTGCACCACAGGAAGTCCAGCAAGGCCGGCGTGTCGCTGCTAAAGCACCAGCCCCGCCCGAGGGGGGCGGCGGACAGCGCGCTGCGCTCCGTACGCGCTCTGCTCTGCCACGTCGTCAGGTGTGTTCGGCTTCCTCACCTCGCTCGCGACGCTTTGCGCAGACTCACTCGCCGTTCGGCTTTGCCCCAGTTACCTCATCGTGCACTCCTTCGGGAGGAGGATGCTCTATCCGGGCTCGGTGGGACTGCTGCAAAAAGCCATGAGGCCCATGCTGGAGCAAGGCCAGGCCAAGCTCATCGAGGAGGTAACGAGCGCACGCCATCTCATCTCATCAGCCAATCTTTTTAGAATCTGGTGGTGTTTACTTGAGGTCGACTGGAAATGACTGCTTGAGCCATGTCTCAACCATTTTTTTTTTCAGACACTATACCAGTGGTTCTGAACCTTGTTTGAGGTACCGAACCCAACCAGTTCAAATGCATTTGCACCGAATCCTGAATTTGTGAAAATTAAAAATATGATTTTTTTTTTTCCAAATTCAAGACATTGAAAAAAAATACATTTATTAAAAACAGAAAAAAGTAAATGAAATTTCAAGACATAAGTATACGTTTTTTTTTTTTTTTTTTATATTACGACGTACTATCACGACACACGTTGACGACTGAGCGAACTAAATTTCCCACCGAACTGATTGGACAAGCAATGCCACGTGATCATCTGCAGCCAGTGATGGCCAAGCGGGCGTGTCATAACTAATTGACAACTTGAGTTGGATGTGTCTTAACCTCCATGGCAGAGGCTCCATTGAACGCCTGAGACCAATTCACCGAACCCAGGTTAAGAGCCACTGCACTATATTCACTTTTTGGAAATGCTTTGCAGGCCTCTCTGTTTGCTCCAGCCAGAAAAACAAACAAAACGAAAAACTTAGAAATCCGATCGGTACCGATCAGCCCCAAATCCCATGATTGAATCCGGACAACCCGACTCGTTAGTGTTGTCATAAAACTAAACCGAGTGGGAAAATATGACTCGCAGTTTGACGGCCAGAGGAACAAGCTGGTGGCCTGCGACGGCAACGAGATCGATACCATGTTTGTGGACCGCAGGAGACACGGCGGGTCCAAGGCCCACACGCTGGTAAATCACTGGGTGTCTGACATTGTGTGTGCGTGTGTGTAAGTGAGAATGTGTGTGGTGAGTTATGTATGCGTTTCCCGCCTCCCCCAGGTCATCTGCTGCGAGGGCAACGCCGGCTTCTACGAGGTGGGGTGTATGAACACCCCACTGGAGGGTGAGAACTCGTCCTCGCGCGCGTCCACAATTCTCCGTTTTTTGCAGCAGAGCGAACCGTGTTGCGTTTGATGCGTTCCGCAGGCGGCTACTCCGTCCTGGGCTGGAACCATCCGGGCTTCGGAGGCAGCACGGTAAAAGCGTTGTCCTTTAATTTGAACAACCGGCGGAGGCGCGTTGGCGTTTTGGCAAGCGGGGATCGGCAGAGGGAATGGAAAGAAAGTACGAATCACAAAAGGCGCGTTTGTCCTGGCGTGTTGCAGGGGGTTCCCTTCCCACAGAATGAAGCCAACGCCATGGACGTGGTCATCCAGTTTGCCGTGCACAAGCTGGGCTTTCAGCTCCCCGACATCGTCATTTACGCCTGGTCCATCGGCGGATTCACAGGTAGCGCAGCGTCGCGTTTGCAGCGTATCGTTAGCGCTTTGGTCATTGTTGGAGTTTTTATCCGATTTGTCAACCGTTCCGATGACACTGGGCAACAGCACATTTTAATCAGGGATGGCTTTATGCGTCCCGAAAAGGAGTTAGCACGCAGATTTCAAAAATGTCCACTTTTTGTTGTTGTTGTACATCAGGTTTTTGAGGAATTTTCATTTTTTTGGTGTTTTTGAGTTTCGCAAAATACGGTCTGTTGACCAGTGTTATGATTGGGGAAATCCAGACTACAAATTTTCACATTCAGAAAATGCCAATTTTCCCCGTAATTTTCACCAGCAAAAAAAGAAGAAAAAAAGCATATCAAAATTCAATCTCTTCACCAATTGAAATCATTCCAACTCGAAAATGCCAAACCATGGCGTTCGAGGGTCCACTGTAATCCTATGCAGCCTCCACAAAAACTTTTTTTGAATTAGCACTGTACAATAAAAACAAGTTTTCCTGAATTCACTTTCACAGAACGGCATCTGCTTCGCTGCAGCGTTTCGATCTTTTCACGGACCGAGATCCACCGCTTGCAAATGAAAGCGAAGTTAAAGTACGAGTACCACGCCGGTGGTGCTTCGCCATGTCGATTAGACACGCGCTTCTCGCTCCATTTTGCTCCGAGTTCAGGTTTTAACTCGCTGGACCTCATGTGCCTGTTGAAAGGCAAAATACCTCAAAGAGAGTCCAATTAGATTCCCCCCCCCCCCCCCCCCCCCCCCCAAAAAAAAAAAAATAAAACCCCCCCCCCCCCCTCCCGCCCAAAAAAAAAAATCGTTCAACCCGCCCTCCCTCCTTTCTCTGTATAGCCAGTTGGGCGGTGATGTCATACCCCGAAATCAAGGCGGTGGTGCTGGATGCTTCTTTCGATGACCTTCTACCTCTGGCCCTCAAGGTCATGCCCGAAAGCTGGAGTGAGTGCTTCCACAGGTCGATTTTTTTGCCGCCCGTTGGCCTCGGCGCGCGCTCACGCGTCTGCGCTTTCGCCGCCAGGACCGCTGGTTCATTACACGGTGCGGCAGTACATCAACCTCAACGTTTCCGAGCAGCTTCTCAAGTGAGTCCGACAAGAGTCGTTTTAACTCGGGCGCACGTGCGGGAAGGCGTCTCTCGAGCTGGGTGCCACCTTGTGCGCTTGCCTTCGCTCAGATACCAGGGGCCCGTGCTGCTCGTGCGCAGAACCAGAGATGAGATCATCACCACCACGTAAGGCTCACTCTGAATATTCCCTCCTTTGTTTCGGGTTATAAGATGATACACTGGCTTAAATTTTGCAGGTAACTTTTTTTTTTCTTTTGCTTTGCAGGAGTCCCGTTGACGTCGCGTCCAACCGAGGAAACAACCTCTTGCTCAATCTGCTGCAGTTCAGGTCTGCGCTCGCCGCCGCCTCCGTGCGGCCTTATGCACGCACGCTTGGCAGCGTTTCCTGTTAGCGGCCTTCGCTCGGACCATTTTGCTGTGGCTGCGCAACGGCCGCGCGTCTTCTTCTGAAAGGGGCCCGCGGCTGCTAACGTGCATGTGACCTTGCCAGGTATCCCAAAATAATGACCTTGGAAGGGTTGGACGTGGTCCGACAATGGCTGCGTGCCTCCACCCACGGAGAGGAAGGTAACGAACGGCTCTTTTCATTCACGGTGTCCCCCCCCCCCCCCCCCCCCCCCCCCCACACATCTCGTGGTCGACAGTGAAATTGCATCCAAAAAATAAACGAGCGGCAAAGAAAACGAATGGACTGTCGCAACAGATGCTAACTCGCTAACAGGATGAAACAAGCTCATCCGTATGTGATTTGTCTGCGCGTAGCGTCCGTATACAGCGGCTACCAGGTGGACGACGACTGGTGCACGTCCGTTTTGCTGTCGTACGGCAGCGACGCGGACGTCAAGTTTCCCTGGAATTATGGTGAGAGCGTTTTCATCGTCCTCCTGCCCCTCATTCGGCCAGACAGGTGACACTGTCTCTGCATGTGTCATCACCAGGTGAGCGCATGACTATCCGAGAGAAGCAACAGCTGGCTCTCTTCCTGGTAAGAAAAATCACACGTGCCTTCAAGTGATGTGTGCACATGGAATTGGAAAAGAGGATGCAAGGAAAATATACAAATACATTTGTATCTCGAAGATTTAGAAACTATTTTTTTTGTCTGAAATATTTGAATTACTTTCCCACTTTGTTTTTTTTGCACTAAACTCGAGTGGCTGCGTGTGCGACGCTCTCCTTCGCTGCGACGCTCTCCTTCGCTAAGTCAAATTTAGTCTCTGCCACTGTTGTAGCACGGGAGCAAGCGTATTGCACAACCACCAAATTGTCTGCTGTGTCTTCAAGAGGCACTTCCACACAGAGAAGCCTTTTTTTTTTAATATATATCATTTTAATCCCCTCTGTCACCATGGTAACCATCTCACCTGTGCTCCGGGCTCTCCTGACTGCTGTAATATATTTCCATGGCAGCCGGCCTGGCTTATTGAAGTCATTTAACATGAAAGGAGCGGCACGCCATCAATTATGGCTCGCACTGCGCTTCTCCTCCATCCGTTCACTTACAGTTGAGGAAAAAAAAAGTGAGAAGTGGAAAATAATTTGTTGTTTCTCCCCCCTCCCTATCCCCCCCATCCCCTCCGGAAGGCTCGCAAACACATGAGAAACTTTGAAACGACGCACTGCACACCGCTTCCCGCCTCTGAGTTCCACCTCCCATGGGAGCTGTATTAGGGGAGAGGGCCGGTCAAAATGGCGTCCCCCTCGGCACGATTTCGTGACTTGTTTTGTTTTATTTAAGTGTAGTGCTGCTGTTCTGGTTGCCCACAAAACAACTAAATCATGACATTTTTAATAAGTGCACATTTTCCATCCTCAGATACGGTTTGGGATTACAAATGGAATTATTCTGTTGTCCTGTCAAATGAGCTGAATAAAAGTCTTTCAATCGGGGACTCATCTCTTCTGTAGTTTTGGGGGCGTTTAAATATTGATCAGTTTCTGCAGAAAAGCACAACAGTTGTTGGTAAGTATCTCATGAGAGGAACGGATTCCATTATAGCACCTCCGAGCCACAGAATAGGAAAAAGTAAAATATTAAACATAATATTTTAACCTGGCAACATTTTGGTCACTGAATGTTTTTAGTGTCTTGCAGTTTCATTTCTTTGGGAGAGTTCATCATCTCCAGCCCTCAGGCTGGAAAAATGGGACTTCCTTTAAAATAGGGTTCCTGTTTCAAACTTTGTTTAGGGTTTTTGAAACCCAAAGTGGGGTTTCAGACTCAGACTGGTTCGAAACTACACTTTGGGTTTTCAAAACCCTGATCCAAATTTGAGACCTATGTTGAAATCTGAACCCCAGTTTAAAATCTGAACCCTAGTTTTAATTCTACTTTGAAACCCTAACCCTTGCTTGAAAACCCTACTTTGACACCTTAAGACTAGTTTGAAACCCTACTCTGTAACCCCAACCCTAGTTTGAAACCGGAGCCTTAGTTTAAAACGCTATTTTGAAGCCCCAACCTCAGTTCAAAGGCCTACTTTGAAACCCTAATCCTGCTTTGAAACCTTAACACTAATTTGAAAGCCGAACCCCAGTTTGAAACCCATACCCTAACCTAAAACCCTATTTTGAAACCCTCACCCTAGTTCAAAACCCTATTTTGAAACCGTAACCCTAATTTGAAATCATACTTTGAAACCCTTAGCCGAGTCTCCTACCTTTCTGTGGAACCCAAGATTGAAACCCTAACCCTAGTCGGAAAGCCTCTGTTGAAAAGCGAGTCGTTTGTGGAGAGGTTAATAAACACAAAAAGATTCGACATTGACTAGTGTTTTTTTTTAAATCCAATTTTTTTGACAACACTTGGAATAAAAACTCACAACTCAACATGATGATGATTTTGACGATGACGATGACGCGTTATTTCATCTTGCTAAAGTTGTCCATGGCTTCTTGGACTTTGTCCAGCTCCGTCTGACTTTGTCTCAGCTGAAACGAGGTAACAAGCGCTCGTTAGTGGCTGACACCCTTGAACGAGGACACCCCCCCCCCCCAATAAAAAAGGTGTTTGCTGTTGTCACCTTTTCGCCGTCCTGCTGCTGCACCTTGAGCGGCACCTTGTCCCTGTAGTCGCCGGTGGCCATCTTGTCGTGCAGCTTCTCCATCAGCTTGGTCAGCTCGCCTTTCTTCGCCTGCAGCTTGGACAATTCTTTGTCCACGTCGATCAGACCCTGACAACAACAACAACAACATGACCACCTCTCGGTTCCACGCACACACAACCTCACTGGCACAGACCGGCCACGTCGTATGGCGATGTTAGCGATGGGGGACGCGTCACCTTGATCATGAGGTTGACGGTGCATCGGTCGGACGCGATGGCCACAGCGCAGCCCGCCGGCACCACCTGCTCAGCACTTAGGGGGATGACAGCCTGACTGTACGACAGAGTTTGGATCTGGACGTTGGATGTCTGCACCAGGGAGACGGTGGCGGCGTCCGCGCACTGAAGGTAACCTGGCACAGGCGCGCACAGAGTGGATGGAAGAGGCGCTTGTTCAAGGGAGCACAACAAGATGCCGTGAACGGCCTATGACGTCATGGATATGCTACAGACTCGCACGCAATAGCTAAAAATTGGCTATTTTAGAGAACTTCCTCCCCAGGACAGTTTTCGCCTTCATTCCGACTTCGTAACACCGGTGGTGCGAGTATTCCTTTTGCCTGGCGATTCGATTCCAATTTTTAGACTCACATTTCGATTTTAAATCAATTTTTGATTCAAAACAAGACCTTTTCATGATTTGGACTAATAGTGGGCGAGATGGCGCAAAAATGTCACAAGATGAGCTGCATCTGTGGTAGCAAATGGAGCTCAAGTCACTGGAGATGTCCAAGTCTATTTCCCACGCCAAGATGCACTTCCTGTTCTCTGTTGTCATTTACATATAATTTGATTTGGTACGCTTGACAGAGTGAGTCACTAAAAGCTTTTAGGTGCTTTTTCTAAAAGAGCTCGAACATTCCTTTTACAGAAATCAACACTCACATGTGCTCATTGTGTTCCACACTCTCCTGCTGCCCTTCGGACATCCATCATGTGCCACCTCACCCGATTTACCATTTGTTCAAACCCGCCACATTTTTAATATGCGGATGGCGTGCGAGTGCGCGTCCGCTTACAGTCCGCTCGAGTCTTGGTCAAGTTGTAGTCAGCCCTGAGCGAGCGGATGGTCTTGACCACGTTCATGACAAAGTCCATGTTGCGGTCCACCTCGTCGCTGTTCCAGCAGAACTGCAAACACAAGAAGCAACTCAAGTCAACCCGCACCTCCTCACCAAATGTGCTTTTTTTTCTACTCACCTCTTGAGCGTCGGGGTACGGCGTGACACAGATGCTAGGTGCATCGAGCTGAGGCCGTCGCCGCGGCAACCTCTGGTAGAGCTCCTCCGTGACAAAAGGCATGATGGGTGAGAGCAGGCGCAAGCCCACATCCAAGCACGTGTACAAGGTCTGCCTGCACACGCCGGCCTGCTTCTCGTCTCCCTCCTTGCTGAAGACGGGCTTCACGCTCTCCTGCGCTAGCAAAAAAAAAGGCGACGTCAACGCGGTTGTTACGATGACGAACGCTCAACGTCCGTACCAGGTAGACGTCGCAGAGCTCGTAGAGCCAAAAGTTGTAGATGGCGGTGGTGATGGCGGGGAAGTCGTATGCCTTGAAGCCGGCGTCGCACAGACCGACGGCGGCGCTCAGCCTGGACAGAATCCAGCGGTCGGCTACGCTCTCCTCGCCGCACATCTGCCGCAAACAAACAAGAAGAGCACATCCGCCTTTTCGTTTTGTTCTATGATGCTCTGGATGTGGTGCTTTCCAAAGTGTTGGCACTTGGGCTCCCCCTGGTGGTATGTGAAAGAATCATTGCCTAAGTACACTTTAATTGTATTTCAATTTTTAGGACAATCCATTTGCATACATTGCGTTATTGTCACCCAGAAGCACATCATGTGACGTCAAACAAACGAACTGGGAGATGCTAAATGTCAGCCGCACTCACCTGGGCTTTCTCTGAGGGCACAAAATTGTCCCCCAGTGTCTTCATGGCAAACTTGACGGCGTTCCACAGCTTGTTGCAGAAGTGACGGTAACCCAGGATGCGATTGACGTCCAGGTTGATGTCCCTGCCTGAAACGCACGCGCGCAATAGCAATTTTGAACATTTTGGGGCTTTGTACTAAACTGATCAAAATGACAAAAGAACCACACATCATAATCGCCCTTCGAATTTGGATTCACCTTTCATGTTAACAGTATCGAATGATTTCTGAATGGCATCAAATGGTTACTTACTCCTTGCACTTCATGGTCCAATCAATGACAAATCCTAATTTCGCTAAAATGTAAGAAATATGGTGCCCAAAGCACTTTACAAAGTCTCACATTCACTCATGAGAAAACTATTTATCTGTAGAGTACACTGGCACATTTTGGCAACCGCTTTTGAAAAGTTGTTTCCCTTTTTAGTTTAAAATTGCTTACTTTCACCAGGATCCCTGAGCATAGCAATGTCAAAGCAAGAACCGGGCGCGGTTTTCTGTACCAAAAATGCTAGCAGGCTCGCTCTTGACACGGACGCCACGGATGAAACCTGAACATTGTGAGATGTTTTGTATTTCTCTCGGTAAAATGTGGTGCGGCAACAGTCACAGCTTTTCTCACAACGCCAAAAAGTCTGAAAATGGTTCACTGATCGGTTTTCAACGCTGGCTCGAATCCTAGTTTTGAATTAGCACCGTAGCGCAGTTGCGTCGAATCAAAGGCCAGATTCGATGTAGCGTCGGTCCAAATGTTTGCTTCGCTTGTTCACCTTGGCTGGTGTATGCGCACAGGGCGAATCGGAGGGCGTCTGTGCCGCATTCCGGGATGCCGTTGGGGTAGTCTGACTTCTGGCCCTGCTTGGCTCGCTCCACCTCCACTGGGTCCAAGTTACTGAATGTGAGCTGCGCGTGCAGACCCTGGAGGCGAGGGGGGGAGTAAAGAGGCGCTTAGCAACACAACAATCCAGGTGCGCAACAAGTGCAAGAAGTGCTGCAGTGCCCTCTGGTGGCCTGCTCTGTCATCACCAGGCCTCAAGGCTAGTCAATTCATGATGGATGCCTTCAATAAAAGCTCTTTGGTTGCTTATTAAGCTTACGGCAGGAGCTCGAGGGAGCAATGTGAGGAACAAAAGAATGTGTGTGCGCGCGCGTCTGCGTGTGTGAGATACGCATCAAGGAGCGATCAGGATTCACCTCCAGGGAGATCCCAGTAATGACATCAAGAGGGTCGATGACGTTGCCCAGAGATTTGCTCATCTTCCTTCCGTGGGCGTCCCTCACGACGGCGTGCAGATAAACCTGTGCACAATTACATCACTTCTAGTTGTTGCTGTTGTTTGGGTGTCAATTAGGCTAACAGGTGTCATCCTCAAAACGCCCCCCACCCTGACCCCCCCTTCACTTGGTGACTCATCTCACCTCTTTAAAGGGCAGCTTGCCGGTCAGTTTGAGGCCCATCATGACCATGCGAGCCACCCAGAAGAATAGGATATCGTGACCCGTCTCTAGCAAGGTGCCAGGGTAGAAAACACTCAGGTCCCGAGTCTGTAAAAAAGAGGCGACGTGGGAGGAGGCTTCAATGGGACTGATGATGACGGCCTTTCTCAAGCCTATGACACATTTCACAGGGTTTTGTGCTGATTTACAAGTCGAGAGAGCATTTTCAGGATGGTAGTACAGACGGTGAAGTTTTGAATCTCATCGAATGGCCATGACATGTGGGGTCCCTCAGGAGTCAGTCCTTGGACCCATTCCGTTTAGTCTATACATGTTGCTTTTGGTTTAAATGCTTCAGAACGCCAGTGTTGGCGATCACAGGTATGCAGATGACACACAGCCAGATCCAACAATGTCCCCAAATGACATCAGTTCAACAAATGCTTTCCTGCAGCTAAACCAAAACAACAACAAAAAAGGGGAAGGGGGGGTGATTTTCAGCAATAAAGAGGGTTGGTGTTATAAAACACCTGCAGTCACTGTCTTTTGAAACCAAAGAGGAAGTCAGAAATCTTGGAGTGCTGATCGGGCAAGATACGTCGCTGAGGCATGTCAAAGTCTGGTCAAACGTACGCTACGTTGCCACGTCTTGCTAGGAAAAGGCAACTCCCGCGTCTTTAAAAAAAGGAAATATCTAAATGTGGAGGCAATTTACATGGGAAATTAAACCGGCGTTGGCACTTAAGTTTGGCGGCTCAAACGACTCTCCGCTTGTTCCTGCTGTGGCGAGTTGGTTGTTTGTACCTCATTAGGCCAGCCGAAGATGGAAAAGGGGAAAATGCCAGAGGAGAACCAAGTGTCCAGAACATCCTCGTCTGAAACACGACAACAAGAACTTCTGAATTATTCAAAACGACTTCAGCAACCCATTCGTTCACTTTCTACAGTGCTTAATAGTGTTGCGAGTGAGCTATCCCGGCTGACTTTGGCACAATCGCAGGGCGCATACAGATTTGCAAACCCAGAACGTCTCGCTGGATAATTTGCAAATGGGAACCGTGAAAAGTAAATAAATAAATAAATAAATGCTCCACTTTGGGTGACCTTGTCTGAGTGCAACTTTGTCAGAGGTCACGTTGAAGCGCTTTGCCGCCTTCTCTCTGGCCTCCTCCGCTGTCCTCCCGCTCACCCAGTAATGGCCGTCTACGTCCTTGAAGGGCGCACAGAACAAATGCGACATCCTCATGAATAACGCTGCAAAGGAAATGACAATGGGGCATCTTACCTCTCCCGGTTTCACGGAGGGATCGTTGACAGTAATGAAGTAAGCGGGGATGCGGTGACCCCACCACAGCTGCCGGGAGATGCACCAGTCCCTGGGAGGAGCCAAAGAGCACATATGATACAAAATGGACTTTTGCGTCGGTAAAAGCCCAGATTGTCACGGTTATGAACGCCGGACTCGCCCTCGTCATCAAATAGACGGACGGGTATTGATCAGTTCTTGCCTTATGTTGTCCATCCAGTTGAACCAGGTCTTGAGGTGGTGGTCCGGGATGATTTTTAGGCGACCCTCTCGGACGGCGTCCGCGGCCTGCTTGCCCATGTCCGTGCAGCTGACGTACCATTGCGGCTTCAACAGGGGCTCCACAATGTCCTTGGAGCGACTACAAGCAAGCAAAAACCGCAAATACAGTTAAGCGCGCGCACGCACGCACAATCAGAGAAGCCACATAAAAAAAGCCAAACAAAAACACACACAAACATACAACAAAAATAGGCAAAACAGAAATTAAAAACAGTGACACAAAAAATACACAAAGTAACATTAAGAAACAAACCAAACACACACAAAAAAACAAAACAAACAGAAACAAACACAAAACCAAAAAACAAGCACATACACAAAACACACATACAACAAAATCAAAAGGTGAGAAAAGAAATATGCACAGGCAAAAATGAACACGTACAACAAACACTTAGGAAAAAACAAACATGCAAAAAAACAAAACAAAAAACAAACCAAAATAAATGTACAAACATGCAAAAAAAAAATGCACACCAAACAACCACACAAAAAAAGAAACAACTCCAAACAAAGACACACACCAAAAACCAATACATACAAACAAATGACAAACACAACCAAAAAAGAAAGACGGACACAGAAACAAATTTAAAAAAACACCAGAAATATGAAAACACACAAAAATCAAACAGTCACCAAAACAAAAAACCCTACAAATAAGATTTTTTAAAATCGATAAATAAAAATCAACACACACGTACACAAACCAACATAAGAGGTGCCACACACACACCAAAAAAAAAAGAATATATTTGCAAAAAGCAGCCAAATCCAGGCAGGCTGCGTCCGTCCATCACCTGCACACGGGCACCACCATGGGGTTGTCTTTGACCTCCCTGAAGTGGCCCCTGTCCTGAAGCGCCTCCAACACCGCTTTCCTGGCCTCAAAGCGCTTCATGCCCTGCGTCGGGAAGAAGCGCACAGCAAAGTGAGCCAGAAAAATTTGCCCGAGCGAGCCGGACCGGCCGGCGTCTGGGCGCAGGCGCGTTCCGACGACGGCGTACCAGGAAGGGAGGAGGCACGTTGATGAGCAGGCCGTTCTCGTCCAGGATGTTGACGAAGGGCAAGCCGTGACGCACGCCCACCTCGTAGTCGTTGTGGTCGTGAGCCGGCGTGATTTTCACGGCGCCTTAAGGGCAAATGTTGCACAGGGAGATGAGAATGCGATCCAGCAAAAAAAAAAAAAGACATGGAAACAAGCCTCCATTGCAAACTTAATTTACATTTGTGCATTTTCTGCACCATCAATATTCAATCTTGTTGCATTTTTAATATAGAGAAGGGAAAGAAAACCTATTTTTCAAAATCCATTGCATTGATTAATTGATATTTTAAAAAAAAAAGGGGGGGGCGTGGACAGAGGAAGACAGATGAATCTATTATTCAAATAATTGTCTGTTGCAGCCCTTGCGGTGTGCGCTGCTTCTGCTTTGGTCACCGTGGAAGCTCAGAAAGCTTTCTCTAACCTGTTCCAAAGCTCATGTCCACAAAGTCGTCAAAAACAACGGGCATCTTGCGCTCGCAAAAGGGGTGCGCCACCATCTTGCCCTTCAGGTGTCGGTATCTGGAGTCGTCGGGGTGCACGGCCACGGCCGTGTCGCCCAGCATGGTCTCGATACGAGTGGTGGCCACGATCACCTCCTCGTCTGAAGGCGATTCAACAAAGCGACGAAGACGGCGTCACCGTACGAAACAACATCGTCAACGTCAACCGTTCTGCTGCCGTTACCTGAGCCGTCCACTTTGTAGGCAAAGGACACCAAGACGCCGAACTCCACTTTGTCTTTGTAGCCTGGCACAGGCAGCAGCGTTCGGCCCATCAGCTCCTTCTTGTCCACCTGCGAAGCGAGCAGCACTTTCACGCAAACAAACGCGACCGACATTCGGCATGCACGAAGCGTCGGGCCCGGCACGGCTTTGGATTTAATGTTTCGATGTCCAACTGCAGAGGGGAGCAAAGATCTATTGCAGGCAAGATATTTATTGGAGTAAGCCTTACGAAAGCACTTTTCGAATAGCAAATCATTTATTTGAATTGCATTACCCCCCAACGCCTTGTAGATAAGGCGTGGTGGGGAGTGCGATGCCAACACGTGACGCCATTTTCAAACATATGATTAGCGTTGTACATTCGAAGCATTTCATCTCATTCCTCTGAGCTTTGGTCTGTTCATATCTTCCTTTGTTGGGAGTTGGACCCCTCAATGCGACCCCAGCCCGGTTTGGCAACTGACCTCGATGTCCGAGATGGCGGAGTTGAGCGAGCAGGACCAGTTGACCAGCCTCTTGCTCCTGTAGATCACCCCCTCGTCGTGCATGCGGATGAACGCCTCCTGCACCGCGTAGGAAAGTTTCTAGAGGGGGCAAAACAAAACAAGAGGTTGAGGAGGACGTTTTGGCAGGTTTTGGTAGAATGAGTTGGGGGGGGGCTCACGGGGTCCATGGTAAAACATGCTCGGTCCCAGTCCAGAGAGGAGCCCAGCTTCTTCAGCTGGTGGTAGATGCGGTCTCCTTTTCTGCGGACGTAAAGAGTCCAACTCAAGACACGGCGCTTTCTCCACGGAAAGCATCATCGTCCAGGCGCCACTCACTCGTTCTTCCACTTCCACACTTCCTCGATGAACTTTTCCCTGCCCAGGTCGTGGCGGCTCATGCCCTTGTCCCTCATCAGCTTCTTCTCCACCACCACCTGGGTGGCGATGCCGGCGTGGTCGCAGCCCGGGTTCCACAGGGTGGTCTCGCCGCGCATCCTGTGCCTGGAGGCAGACGGGAAGACGATCAAGGCTCGACGTTTCCCCGGCACGGCCGCGGGCGGCCTTTGGAGCGTCGCGCTAACCATCTGGTCAGGCAATCCTGAATGGCGTTGGTGAGGGCGTGTCCCAGGTGGAGCGATCCGGTCACGTTGGGCGGAGGGATGCACATCATGAAGATGCCTTGTGGGTTGGGATCGCTAATACTTTGCCTCTGGTTAAAAGGAGGACGCGGGATGACAGTCAGTTCTGTGTTTGTAGATCGCATTTCAGCATTTTGCAGTCAAGGAAAAAGTATTTCGCCAGCGGAGGGGACAAGACATCAATTCAGAGAAAGAAGCACCCGGACGGCGCGTTTACGAGGGGTTACGACTTGAGCTCATGCGACGGCGCTTACCCCGTATTCGGGCTTGAAAAATCCCTGCTTCTCCCACCAGGGATACCAAGCGGCCTCCACATATTGAGGACTGTACGAGTCAGGGAGCGGACTGACGACATCTGCGAGGCACAGGGAACACGTTGAAATATTCACTTGGGGCTAAAAATCCAGTTCACATTCCTCATGTCAAACGGCTCCTTCCTTGCCGATGGGCTAAAATGGAAAAACTACAGCGGCACCTTGACTGAAGAATTTAATTCGATCTGTGGCCGCGCATCAAATGAATGGCAATGCCACTACATGCTCTGTTGCAGCCCCACAAAAAAATTTAAATATGTAAGATTTTTCTAACGCGTTGGTAATAAAGAAAATATTCTGTCTTTATATTCTGAAATTAAATGAAACCAAGAATAGCCTGTTAAGAAAGAAAATAAAAATCACCTTTTTTCTCCCCGGTAGGAGTAGGAATATTGTACGAGATGACCCCCAACTCCTTCTTCTCAGGTTTGGCCTTTTTCTAAAAAAAAAACATTTGATGAAATGAATAGAGTAAATCACACCTTTGATTATGCTTGCGTTAAGAGTTTACACATGCGACATGCGGTCATTAAATAAATGATAAATAAATTCATTGGATACAGTAAAAATAAAAATTGTAGGAAAAAACTATTTTATACGTAAGAATTTTTTTATAGTCTTACCACATTCAGTGCCAATTTTCAGACTCTTCTTTACTCTACCACGTAAAAAAATATAGATTTAAATACCTGGGATTGAATGCCTGGATTCTTTACAAAAAAAAACAAAAAAACACGAAAAACGTCCTTGGCACTAAATAAGTATTGAAGAAATGAGAATTAAACCCACTGTACAGTACACATTAAAAAAATAAAAATAAAAATAAATCTTAAAAAAACCCGGCCCATGTGCCTGTTTGAAAAAAACTCAAACGTGGCCCTTGAGCACCAACATCTGGCCTCCCCCGCCCCGAGCTCCACTCACAAACTTGAGAGACGTTTTACCTCTGTGACTGGCTGCGTCTTCTTCTTGGCCTCCATCTCCTTCTTCTGTTGGAACTTCTCCAGCTTTTCTCTCTTCTTTGCTTCTTTCTTCAGCTGCGCTTCCGTCTTGGGCGGCCCTGAAATCGTCCCGACGTCTAGATTTCGTCTCAAAACAACAATGAGCAATGTACAAAAGTCATTTGCCGACCGTTCGGCGTCGCTTGTGCCATGTCACCAGCGGCGGCGGCAGCGCAAGGATTAGAACAAGCTTTGGCCTCTGCGTTTGTCTTCTCCGGCGCCATCTTTTCGCAAAGCGTGACTTTTCCCAGCACTTTGATGAAGTGTGGCTGGTTGATGCAGGTGGTGAACCATCTGGTCACGTTGGTCAACGCGTCCCTGTCGGACGGCTCCAGAGCCTACGTGAGTAATAGCAGACAAGAGTAAGAGTGAGGATTCGGCCCAACGCAGAGAGACGTGAGAACACGCACGTATTTGAAGGGCAGAAGAAGAGCCGAGGCCACGGCCATGTCGGCGAGGGTGACGCTCTCCCCCACGAGGTAGGTTTTTGGCTCCAGCATCTTATCCAGAACCTTCAGGATGCGCAACAGCTCAACACGGGAAGTCTGCTGGAGCTGAAGCGTAACACGAAATGTCAATAAATCACTTGGGGTGGGAAAAAAAACAAATAGCCCTGTTGCGAATATTGACAATCTGCGAGTAATTGACGTGCGTAATTGATACCGCCCTCCTAAAAAAAAAAAAAAAAAGC